CTTAAACATCGGTAAAAAAAATAGATAATTAAATTGTAATAGCTAATTATAATAATTTATCGCAAGAATTTCATAAAAATTAATTTTTTATTACTAATTATAATATTTATGAAATTTTTTTTATTTATCAAATTATTTAAATTTTTAAAATATGTTAGTTACAAAAAAAAATCATTAGAATCAATTTTGTTATGTTAAATACAGATCTCTATCTTATAAAATAATATTTTTTGGAATCTTTTTTCGATGAAATTTTTTAAAGAATTTTTTAATAATCTTTTTATATAATATCATTTTTATTATCATAATTATTTATGAATTAAATTTTATTATTTTAAATTTTTTTTATCAATTAATAAAAATAATATTACAGGTTAATATAAAATATTTTTTGTTAAATTTAAAATACAATTTATATATTTAAAATATTTATTTATTCAAATTTCAAACTTATATATTTAAACGTAATATTTATCTTTATATATAATTTATTATAAATTTTAATTATATATAATTAATATTTTGTTTGTTCATTGCATATGTTAAAATACTATAAAAAAATTTATAAATCTTTTTTAACAAAACATAATTCTAATATAAAACAATATGCTAATTGTAAAACTCTAAATCCTAAATTTAAAATCTTTTCTTTTTAGTTTATCACATTTTTTTAAGAATATTAATATTAAAATGTTTAGTAACAATAATTTTATGTATAATATGTAACAATACATAAAAATATGTAACTTTGATTTCCACAATTTTAAGACAATTATATCTATTTTTTAAACAGTATTTTGCTTTGCTATTTTTTGTAATTAGTATTTTAGTATGTAAAGCGTAATAATATATGCATGCATAATCTTATGTTTAAACTTGTCACTGGCATCGTAATTATTATAAATAAAAAAAATTGATAAACGTAACTATATTAAATCAGTAAATAACTCGTGTATATTAGAATAAAACATTAAAATAAAAATATTTATAAAGAAAATATATAATGAAAACTTTATATTAGACACAAAATAAAATTATATTTATAAGTTATTATAACATAAAAAATTGACATTATTCTACATCTAATAAAATTATTAATTAAAAAATATAATATTATATAAGATACTTCATACAAGATAAATAAGTTATAGAAATCTCACAATGTTTATGACTTATTAACTATACAACGCATTAATAGTTAATTTAATTTTTAAAGGTAAAAATATATTATTTATTTTAATTTCAAAGTATATTTTTGTTGTCAATCCAATATTTTTGGTTATCATAACATAATGATACAATACAAATGTAACAAACAAAAATCAATCAAATAGAAATATTATCTCGTTATCCAAGAGAATGATGCTCTATTATTTAAATTCAATTTGAGAGAAAGAAATATTTTTGTTTTACATTTTTATTTGATCTTAAACATATGAATTCTGATTCAAAATTAAAAATAATGATTTTTTTTACATTTATCTTATAGCCTAATTGTAAAAGATTAAAATAACAACTAAAGACAATATTTTAAAACTTAGTAATTCATTATGTTATCTTAAAAATTTAAATTCATATTCAAAATCAAAGATAAAGTTTTATTATTATTGAAAGTGTGAATTTCATTGTTTAAGTAATATGTTTTTTTTATTACTTTAAACTCGAATATATAAGTATTTTTTTTATAAAAATAATATAGTTTATTTTCAACGACTAATATAATATAATTATAATAGTTATCGACTAATTTTTTTTTAATTAAGTGTAAATTAAATATATTAAAATAGTATATAATTTGATTACAATAGAAATATATTAAATAATTATTTTAGGTTTAATAATATATCACTTAAACTTCGGTAAAAAAAAAATAGATAATTAAATTGTAATAGCTAATTATAATAATTTATCGCAAGGATTTCATAAAAAATAATTTTTTATTACTAATTATAATATTTATAAAATTTATTTTATTTATCAAATTATTTAAAATTTTAAAATATGTTAGTTACAAAAAAAAATCATTAGAATCGATTTCGTTATGTTAAATACTGATCTCTATCTTATGAAATAATATTTTTTGGAATCTTTTTTCGATGAATTTTTTTTAAGAATTTTTTAATAATCTTTTATATAATATCATTTTTATTATCATAATTATTTATGAATTGAACTTTATTATTTTAAAATTTATTTATCAATTAATAAAAATAATATTACAGGTTAATATAAAATATTTTTTGATAAATTTAAAATACAATTTATATATTTAAAATATTTATTTATTCAAATTTCAAACTTATATATTTAAACGTAATATTTATCTTTATATATAATTTATTATAAATTTTAATTATATATAATTAATATTTTGTTTGTTCATTGCATATGTTAAAATACTATAAAAAAATTTATAAATCTTTTTTAACAAAACATAATTCTAATATAAAACAATATGCTAATTGTAAAACTCTAAATCCTAAATTTAAAATCTTTTCTTTTTAGTTTATCACATTTTTTTAAGAATATTAATATTAAAATGTTTAGTAACAATAATTTTATGTATAATATGTAACAATACATAAAAATATGTAACTTTGATTTCCACAATTTTAAGACAATTATATCTATTTTTTAAACAGTATTTTGCTTTGCTATTTTTTGTAATTAGTATTTTAGTATGTAAAGCGTAATAATATATGCATGCATAATCTTATGTTTAAACTTGTCACTGGCATCGTAATTATTATAAATAAAAAAAATTGATAAACGTAACTATATTAAATCAGTAAATAACTCGTGTATATTAGAATAAAACATTAAAATAAAAATATTTATAAAGAAAATATATAATGAAAACTTTATATTAGACACAAAATAAAATTATATTTATAAGTTATTATAACATAAAAAATTGACATTATTCTACATCTAATAAAATTATTAATTAAAAAATATAATATTATATAAGATACTTCATACAAGATAAATAAGTTATAGAAATCTCACAATGTTTATGACTTATTAACTATACAACGCATTAATAGTTAATTTAATTTTTAAAGGTAAAAATATATTATTTATTTTAATTTCAAAGTATATTTTTGTTGTCAATCCAATATTTTTGGTTATCATAACATAATGATACAATACAAATGTAACAAACAAAAATCAATCAAATAGAAATATTATCTCGTTATCCAAGAGAATGATGCTCTATTATTTAAATTCAATTTGAGAGAAAGAAATATTTTTGTTTTACATTTTTATTTGATCTTAAACATATGAATTCTGATTCAAAATTAAAAATAATGATTTTTTTTACATTTATCTTATAGCCTAATTGTAAAAGATTAAAATAACAACTAAAGACAATATTTTAAAACTTAGTAATTCATTATGTTATCTTAAAAATTTAAATTCATATTCAAAATCAAAGATAAAGTTTTATTTATTTATTATTTATTTAAAACTTTAATCTTATAACTTAATTGAAAATTCAAACTAACAATTGAAAACAATAAATTTATTATCAAATTAGGATTACTATTAGGATTACTAAAAGACTATCTTTACAATTAATCTATTATTCTCAACTTTATTTTTAAACTGAATTTAATATACCTTGAAAAAATCAACAATCAATTCAATAAATTTATTATACTATATAAATTATTTATCATAAATTTAAAATATAATTATTATAACTAGTATTTTATATATAAATATTACTTATATATAATTAAAATTTATAACGAATATATATATATATATAT